TTATTCTACCTTAATATTAAAGGGTACTTCTCATTTACACTCAAATTTGATGGTCACACAATAATAGTTCATAAACGGTATAAGTTAGAACAATAACTTTGAAATCAGATGATAAAATATCTATTTAGCTACATACAATATAAATTTTATCGTAATAGAAGCAAAAATAATACGAAAAAATCACATGAAACGATAAAAAACGGGGTGATTTTTCGCGTTCTCATCGTGTCACACCTTTGGTTGCAATGAAACATTTGGTTACTGCATTCACAATTTTCATTCAATTTGTGTGTAGCATATACTAAAATTATCGTAATTAAATATACTTTCCACACAATAGTCAAAAAAATATCTTCTTATAATTATTTTGAATTGAGAAAGCGAAATACGTTGGTCACACGATTTTAGGTACCTAAAATTTTGAGTAATAATACAAGATTGCCGTTAAACTGAACACCAGCAACCAATCACAGTGTTTTATTCGGTTAACGTTAGTCGCGCTCCGGCCATTGGGGAGGTGAGATAGGTCGATCGTCGCTCCGGGAAAAAAATACGTAACTTTTTGTGATTATCCATAGAAATACCGTCGCTTGCTTGAACAATATTTTCTACCTCTAAAATTTAAACAATTTAATTGAAACTTTGCCATTGAAAACTTAACATGTTAGACTTATTTGTGTAGTATTCGACTTGAACCGTTAAATTCAAATTTTAGGATAATTCATAAAAAACTNTTGTTGAGGGACTGATATAATCAGTTAGAGTTCTTTTTATTGAGGTACTGATAATCCGTTTTTTGCTTCTTTAGCATTTCATAATGCCACCAGTATCACCCTTAAAACCAATTGCGTAGAATCTTGTAACTTAATAGGTGACGTAATCGGTAAAATTTTATCATGTATTTAAGTAGGTACCTATTTATATTATGTTATTGCTATTTATCTATGAAAATAAGACAAAATATATGTTTTATAAACACTTAAGAGTCATTTACAGTAATAAAGTTTGTAAAAAATATTGCTGTGAAGTACAGAATCACTTTCGTGGCATCAAAAAATTAAAAACGTTAAAGCTTCCAAACGAGACTCACTATTTGACTGATTTACTGAGAATACAATCTTCACATCAAGCGCTACAATTTTTGTTTACAAAAAGTTGAAATAAGTTAGAAATAAAATTCGCCACGAAGGTGACGATGAGAACCGTGGCGATGAGAAATACCCAATAACTTATATCAAGTCTTAATACGGTCACGGCTCAAGATTTTTTTGTCCATTTCGCCGTTCTTTTTACTCTTTTTACGTTGCGTTGACAGTCTGTACCTAAATACGCGCGGAACTTTTTTGTGAAATGGCTCTTAAGAGGCAACGCCAAAAATGTAGTGTAGCATAGCAACATAATATCTATTGGGAACAAATCGTTCCTTTAACTTATACTCTGCACCAATACAATAAGGAAATCTTACTAACCAAACGGGTAGCCTAACATTGACGTTTAACCACAGAATAATAATAAGTACTACGTACAGAAGTTTTACTTCGCGAAGGTATTGAAAAAAATGTATGCTCAATGTCATTAACAATATTGTGTAATTTAGCCTGTCTCAAGAGTCAAGCACCATTTAGTTGACAAACGTCAGTGATCGGCACTGCGCCGAAGATATAGGGCTGACTTCGGTAAAATGATGAGACGTGAGGTGCCAAACTGCGGAAAATGGCGGAGGAAATACATGATTTCGCATGAATTATCATGAATAATATTAACTACTTATTTACCTCTCAGTGTCTTGAGGCAACTTGAAAAAGTACATTCTGTGTTTTTATTATTATTAAAGCAGTTAAATACTGCACGGTATTTAGTACACAATTTTCTTTATTTTCTTCCGTCATACACAAGAATACGCGTGCGTGAGTCAATGTTCGTTCGTATGTGAAGCCTTGTCGAATAGTATCCTGCAGGTGGGCCATCGTGCGTGTTTTGTTTTAGATGTAAACTCGCGGAGATGAACAGGCCTGGTTTAACTCTCAACTTTTCAAACTTTATGTGATTATAGCGAGTACTCCGATAGCCCGCTACAAAATTGCCTACGTCATGTGATATCATGATACAATGCATTAGGACACCGTTTGAAAAAGCTGTTCTGAGCGTAGATTACAAAATGAAAGCACACATTTCATAAATAAATTGTATCAAAAACATGTTCATATAAAATGTTGCGAAGACGAGTCCATAATGGTTCCCATTGTAAAAAAAGTATCAGATCTCATGTAGAGCCAAGCTTCTAACACGACACACTCTAAGGCTGGGTCAGATGGTGCACCATCTGACTTTAACTTTGACAAGCATCAAAAATATGCCAAACACCATACTTTTTCATAGTTACTGTGAAAGTTAGGTGGTGCAACTCAGCCTAACTCTACAAGACCTAACTTATTTTATACCTAAGTCAAAATACGTGCACGTGTCACGACCGTTTCATTACACATGAAGTAAAATATGACCTTAGCATGTTGACCAGTAGAGAAGATTTTCGAAGACTTGTAAATTTTAGGTGCGATAATCTTCAGATCCTCGCTCAGTAGATTTTGTCGTGATGTCATAAAGTCGTAGGCAATTTTGGAGCGGGCTCACGGACTAAACTGATCGCTTTTGTTTCAACTGTTTACATTCCAATAATGCTGATTCCGTATTCGACCCCTGAAGGGTAACGGTTATTCGTAGGGTTGCCAACTCTTGAAAGGACCAACCCGGGAGAATTGCTCCTAGAAGGGGGTTGCTCCATAGTTGCTCCATCACGCTGAATACGCGCTCGAATGAAGCATTAACAGAGACAGGAATGGAAAGATCAAACGTGACCATTTTTTTAATTCAGGACAAGGATTTCTGTCTTTCGATTTCGTAAAGAAGTCAACCCAGCGTAAATCCACTCGATTTTCTTCAATAAGATGTGGTTGCACCTCACGCAAAAGTCCAACCTCATCGTACAATTTGTCACTATCTATGTCAATATTTAATAATTCCTGGAGTTTAGTAATGCTGGTCCATGTGATTGGTTCTTTTAAAGATAAAATTTATACACAAGTACGAGCAGCAATGGATGCATTTAATTTTTAGAAATACCGGAGAAAATATTGCTCTCCGGGAGGTCGGGAGGTTAACCATTATTTCCGGAGTCTCCCGGGCAATCCGGGAGGGTTGGGAACCCTAGTTATTCGCTTAAGCAGTTGAGCCACACTTGGCTTTTAAGGTTGTGACACACATAAGCGGGCCGGCATTGTAGTTTTGTTAGTATTTGTTGAACAACAAAGCCGACCCAAAGAAATAAACACTTTTTCAGATACATTGGCATGTATTTGAATAAGTTTTTAAAAATAATTGTGCATTACAAATCACTAATAATCCCGTTAACCCCTCGGACTAAGCTAAATGATGCTTGTGGTTCACTATAATAGTCCAGCAACGGCAGGGTTTGAAACAGTGGAGCAGCGTTTTTATCTACCTCTCTCGAGTCGGACATCTTCATTGTTTGGCTATTGTCGTTTACAACATAAATGTAGATAATGATAATGTGCGTGTGACAAAGCGGCATTTTCCCAAACATTAATCTACTTATGACTTAAACCAGAGTAAATACAACCGGCGCAACCACCGCTAATCCCCGCTAAATTTTGACAGTGTGTGCGTGCGCGCTGCATACGTGTTGGCGCGCTCACATACAAACCGCGCCCGTGCGTTTCTATGAAGATGACCTACTCCATTTGTATTTACTCTGCTTAAACGCCCGTCTTGTCGTTTAATGCCGTCCCACTTATGTTTGTAGCAACCCTTAGCTTTATTGTGGTAATATTGGGGATCGTAACCGCGGATCTCAGTTCTCAACTTCGCCCTACGGATTAATTTCATGTCGATAGCAACGACATAATTCCGTATTTCGTAGACGTATAAGCACAGGTATAAGCTTGTACTTTGAAGCTTTGAAGATGTTATATTAAAGTAAATATTATTAATAATATCAAGTACTATTAATAACAAAGTTATGTGAAGATTTTAATATTGGTGTGGTTTTAGCCGTGTGTAAAAATGTGAACATATTTTCTGTTTTATGTTTACATTGAAACTCATGATTTACCTTTTTATTTTAGAATCTGTGATATTAATAAAATGTTTGGCTTCGTATTAGGCACACAGTAAGGATAGAAATTGGAAAGTAAATCCAAATCAAGATTGTTTTTTTATATTTAAACCGATATAATGACGGTCATTTTAAATTATTGATTTTACTAGTATTTTGGGACTATGGACTAAAACTATACTTTTTTAAAGTACTTACTCGTATACATTACCCGATAATTTTGTAGAAGCAAATAACATTTTATCAACGGGATGAGATACATGTTGTCAGTTTTACTGTTTCCATTTATGATAATGAACCGGAAAGTTATTGTCAACTTCCACGTTTATGATAATGAGAAAACTTTTTAACTGTTTGTGTATCGTATTCCTAATAACGCTTCAGGAACGGTTCGTTGCGCATCTTTCCAGTTAAAAGAGTAAAACGTTTTGGGTCAAAGTTGTTACAGCGTTAATAATGTTTTCGGGTTTTGTGTTATTTTATTGCTTGTGGCCAGTTTTTGTTAGGTAAAGAATAACATAATGTTTTTATTTTTTCATTATTGACAAAAACTTCAATTAATAATCATGTAAATCATGGTTTTAAATAATATTACTGGAAAATTTCAGCATTTTCCAATGTAATTTAAATCTTTGCCGTGTATCATATTTTTATTCATTCTTACGCTCATATCACTTATAGAATAAAATAATAATTTATTTTACATAGTTAAGCAATTTGACATACCCTGATTACTTTTAATTGATTTATGAGATTTACTTAAGTAGATACAAGAAGAAGGGGGAATAATTAAGTGGATTGAGGCTAGAGTTGACCGTTTCTATATCCTGTATCATTTATTATACCTAAGCAAGTAAAAAAATCTAACCTGTAAAACCCTTAACCGTAGTACCAGAGCCAGTGGATAAGAGAAAACGTGATGGAAGATGGTTGTCTCTCTCTCCCCCGTCAGCGGCGCTGCCGACTCCTTTCTCCGGGATAGAGCTGCCTGAAAAAGAAATATTTATGTTAAAAACAACATTCCAGAAATAAACTAATTAATCAGTAATTAGTTCGTATTAAACTAACTCCAGTATAAACTAGAAACTGAAGAAAAGTAACTTTCCTTTTTGTGAACGATTACACTTTAATTTGTTTTACTTTACTTTTTTCAAATAAAAGTTCTATAAGTTAACCGTATCTATAAAAACATTGGTATCAACTCCATTGACAGTACCATGTTGTACCAGGCTTCCATAAGTCCACTGGAGTTGACGCACGCGCGACTAACAAAAACAGTTGCAAGGCAACGTAATGATTTGTTTTCAAAACATCGGCACTTCGTTACTGACCACATCTAACTGAAAAACTATCCAGACTGTTTGTCAAATACTACAGTATTGAAGACTGAAATAGAGAATTTAATCAACTTTGCAAAAATAATTTCAATCTTGTTCCTACGATATTGAGTGAGATTAATAAACTTGAAAGCTCTTTTCATTGAGTTTTCGCAACAATGTTGCAGCCCTTAGAAAAGTGGCCTTGTGGAAGTGATGATAGTAGTGATGATGATGATGATGAAGAAGAAAAATCACCAGAAGAGGTTAAACCGAAATCTGATTCTAGCTCAGATGATGAGGTTGAGGAAATCAAGGAAAAGTCTGAAGAGAAAGATGGTGAAGTTGTCGGTGAGTTTTAATAACAAGTTATTAAAGATAGAAAGAGGTGAATAGACTTTTCAAAGTTCACGTGTAGATTTTCACCGACTGCGCCAGAAGGAGTGTTATGTTTTTTCTTTGAAATATAGGCTTTATACCCTTGATGTACTAATAAGATAATGTTTTTTACTATTTCAATTACCAAAATCAACTAAGGTCCATTTATGTTACGAGCTTTCATATAGTATTCATTATTATTTAATCTCTTAAATAACTAACTATTACATACTCGTGTTATATTCAAGTGGATTAATCTATGAATTACACCAACCTATTTATTTTCAATCAAGCTTGTATGTGTGCCCAACTGTACAAAGATAATAATTTACCTAGTTCAATGTTCATGATTGAGTACAAACTTATTTGCATATTTCAAAGGGGAATTGCTCGGAAATTAATGTATTGACAATGATTCCGTAATACGAATATTCCGTTTTCATCGATATGATATTTGCATATAAATACAAGCTCTAAGTATTAATGTTTTAGTATTGGATTATGTTTAAATTACATGTACATTTTGGTCATACATATTAAGTATAATGGGTGTGTTTTTATGTTGAAACTGCTGAACATATTAGTGGTAGAAGGGTAAGGAGAGTCTTCAGAATTTATTTTATTGAAATAAGTATTTAACAAAACCTTTTTTCCTTCATGCAAGTCACACGTCTTGTCTTTTTTAAAAATAAAACTTTGTTATGACAAACGTCAGTCATCGTCAAAATGTTTTGATGTATTGTTGATGAATTTATTTACTTGGTAAATAAAACAAAGTAAATTGAATTTCAGCTGAAAAAGAACCAGACATCATGGCAGCGCAGCAACCAAAACCTCGTAGGAAGAGGTTCATCCCAAAATATGAAGTGGAAGGGGTATACAAAGTCATATTGGGGGAGGAAACACAAATACAAATAGAAATGGTTATTGGGACCCACGTGAACGCTCAATACCCTTGGAAAAATATCAGCAAGGCCAAAATTATGGAGACCATTGATATTGGTGGTGAGCTATCCGAGTTTTTCCCTTTGAAAGCTCAAATTGAATCCTACACCGGCGATGAGATATTGATGGGATACATGGTAGATGAATCTAAGGACGTAGATGAATTTTACGTCTGTTGCACAACTGAGGCTCGAGACCACTGCAAGCAACAGTCTGATAGATTCATAAAAAGACAAGAAAAGAAACTAGAAAAGGCCGTACAGAAAAAACCGAGGCCTTGGAAGAGTTTGGGCAGTGAAGTTGAGATCACAGAACTGATTCCAGTTAATACAAGACCTCTTATGGAAATGGAGATAAAGGCCAAGTTTCCAACTGTCTATCAGCCGCAGAAATTCAAAGTTAGAGACAGTAATGCAGCGCGAGATGGTTATATTGAGTTAACACCATATAGACAGAAGTTCAATAACGTTTTTCGTAGGAGAGTAGATTGTGGATCTCAAATAGCTCCAGCTAAAGTCAGTAGACATGCTCAGACAGTTTTGAAGTATCCACAGAATATGTGGACGCAGTCCATAGCCGATGCTCTTGGTACAGTGGATGATGCTGAAGGCGGTGGTGATACCGGCGCTGGTGGTGGAGGCGATGAAGAAGGAGGAGAAAAGGAGCAAAAGAGCTCTGACGAAGATGAAGAAGAAGTGAAAGAGCCTCCGGATGAAGTCGGCCTTATTGCGTACAGAGCTGCTATGAAAAGAATGAGGCGGCCATCTTACATCAAAATGATAAATGGTTTCATGTCATCTAAAAGAGATGAAATGAGTTCCATCATCGAACTCAACACTGTAATGGATATGTACTGTAACGATTACCCTAACTTAGTAGCAGAAAAAACTGTTGATATCTACGACTCTATGGCTTTTGAAGAGTACGTCTGTTTCACCGATGTGAGGGCAAAAGATAAGTATGTGTCTTGCGCGGAATTTCATCCAATGTGGTCTGGAATAGTCGCTATTTGTTATGCCGATGGTTCACCAACAGTTATGAAGTCACTGAGCACTAGACCTGACCCAATTCAAAGGGCAGTCTATGGATTAAATCCAGTATTGATCTGGAGTCACATTGATAGCTTGATTCCAAAATTATATTTAGAATCTCCTCGAGAAGTAAAAGTTCTATCATTTTGTCCATTTGACGAGAACATATTAATAGGCGGCTGTATAAATGGTCAAATTGTTGTTTGGGATATCACAAATAAGTTAGATAATGTCGAAAAGATTGAAGTTTTGAGTGAGACGAGAGAAAAATATCGTATTGCCATGAATGCTCATATGGGATGGATGAAATCTGTTCAGGATAATGCAGTAGTTCAGTCGACAGCCTTGAGCAGCTTAATGACCAGTCACTATGGTCCTGTCACTGCCATTAGGTGGCTATCTCCGAACTTTCTAGTTACACCAACTGGCAAACCTGAAATGATGCCACCCAAAAAAAAGTCTCTCATGTTTTTCACTGGCTCTGAAGATGGTAACATTTTAATTTGGAATCTGTCTGTGGAAAATGTAACCTTATTTGAAGGTAAAAAAGTAAAAAAATCTAAAAGAGTTCCGAGGAGGCCCTCTGGTTTATTAGTTGATGTTTCTCCTTATAAGATATTAGACCGTAATTTGCTGCCTTCTTATAAAATTATATTAGGCGTGGCGGGGCAGCCGCAAACATTAAACTTGCAAGCTTTTGCTTTAAATCCTCCAACGTTACGGTACGTTTACACACCTAAGAATACTGGTTCAGGGAGAAAATACTTTATTTGCGAAATAATACCGCAAACCGAGGACGATATATCCACGACTTTATATTGCGGCTCTCAGCATGGGGAGCTAAGACGCGTTTCATGGGAAGGTCATAAATTTAACACTGGAGAAGTCGTTAATTCGGAGTATTGCGAGATAAAATTCAGTTGTTCTATCCACGACGGCATTGTATCTTGCACGGAGAGAAACCCCTTCATAAATCATATAACATTGACAGTCGGTGGTAAAATATTCGCAATTTGGTCTGACAAATTGTTGGATCGCCCATTGATTTGGAAAAAACGGCCGTATCGTTTGACAGCTGGCGCTTGGTCCTTGTATAAGCCAAGTCTGATATTTATATCAACTTCCGAAGGTGATCTTGAAACATGGGACCTATTGTTAAGGAGTGACAAGCCAATATCCGTTCAAACGTTATCTGGCACAATGCTTACAGGTGTCAGTCTGCACACATTGCCTTTGGCTAAAAATATAACTGGCGTGAGTGACGTTAATGGTTCTTTCAGAATGTTCTTGAACCCACTTATTTTTATGATAGAAAATCCTACTTACGTCGGCCGAATGCAGTCAATGGTAGCTAGGGAGTTGAAAGTTATGCAGTCCTTTATATTCTGGCAAGAAGAATGGATGAGAAATAATCCACAGATTTTACTAGAAATGAAACGGAAAGAAGGTGCTCTTTTAGCAGAAAAAGAAGAAGAAAAGCGTAGACTGAGAGAAGAAGAGGAAAAAAGATTGGAAGAAGAAGCAGAAGCTAGAAGATTACAAAAGTTGAAAGTCATAGGTCCAGAAGAACGATGGCAAAAAATAATACAGAAGCTGATTGAAAGAACTATTGCTGTCAAGAAAAGAATTAACAGAGCCGAGTTGATTGAACACGAGAAACCTTTACGAGAGTTGGAAGCTCAGCGTTTGGAGAAAGAAAAGAGAATGCTTGAGATTATGAAGAACCAGAAAACAATATTTAACGATACTGTAGCTATACTATTTCCAGAAGCTATAAAGAAGAAAGCTAAAATTAAGAAGAGTCTTCTATCAGATGATAGACCTGGGTTGAAGAGAGAGTATTTGGAAGACTATCAGTACTTAAAAAGTACTGCAATCAGGACAGTGAAAGACAACCCATATAAGGTTGCGTTTTCTTGGGACGCAACGCTGGCAGAGGGGAAAGAGAGAAGGCAGGCCTTGAATCCTTACGACGACTATATAAAGATACATAAGACAAGGATAGACGATGAGTTGGCAGGTCCTACTACAAAGCCATCTGAAAGAATAGTCCCAAAATACTCTCGTTCGGTAGCAATTGAGGAAGAAGAGACTGAGGAGGATGCTGCTTGAATGCTTATTTTAATTAACTTTCCTTTTAATTTAGCTTTAACATTTTTATAATAAAACAAGTACTAGAAGTGGATTTTTTATTTCTCTGACACTTACCTACCTAGTTGATATTTCAAGGTAATCTGCTTCTGAATTTATGATAGATCTTGTAACCGCGATAAACATTATTTGTAATTAAATAAACACGGATTTCTTGGTAGATGATATAGTTTGAAGTTTCCTAGTCTGTTTAGAACAGTCGCCGTCAGAATAATTTGATATTAATTTCAATGCTCAAATAAGTCTTTAGATCTTAGGTTTTGTTGGCTTAATGAATCCAGGTTGTTAATTGCTATTAACTAATTGGTAGGCAAAACAGAACTCATTGTTTCACAGTTAGGGTTAGGCTAAGAACTCATGGCGCGATTTTCAACCGCGCCCGCGGCGGTTGTCGAATTGCGGTTTTATTTCAAAACTCAAAACCGCGTCGAGAGTTGTGCATTAATTTTTACATAAGTATCTGCATTCTACAGAAGTTGCGGGACCGCAACCGCCGCGGGCGCGGGTGAAAATAGCGCCGTGAGTTCTTAGCCTTAGTATCTAGGTTTTTGTAAGACTATGCACAAAATATGTATGTTCAAAAGAGTCTAGAAAGAGTATGTAGAGTTGCTTGATATAAACTGATTCCAATAGAAGCTTTTATGGTTCGTACAAGTGAACACACATTTTTGTTACATTATCCTTTCGCACCCTTCCTGGAATAAGTACGCAAGTGAAAAATGCCAACTTTTCAGGAGCGTAAAAAAACTGTCCTAAAAATTTATTACCATTATTAAAAATATGTGTTATACATCAAAAGATAGCTAAAAATGTCTGTGAGGGGCCTATGTATTTATATTTAAAATACACTTAATAGGTTTTGAGAAAAACTTAAAAAAGAGCGTTGCGTACTTATTCCGCGAAACATATTTAACACCTTGTTGTTGTAATTATGAATATTGCATTGTTGACATGTAAAGGAATACATGCTGTTTGGTATTATTGCAGATAACCACTTATTGGCGTTCAGATTTAGTCTTGCATTCAACGTGTAAGTGTAGTTTACGTAGTTTTTCCTCGAACTATTCGTATTGAAGTAAATTCGTAAAAAGGATAACGTACTTTTACCTTGTGAAAAATTACATTACTTATGGTTATATTTAAAATTATAGCTTTATTCAAAATTAAAAAGTTACAATAATTTTGCATAACTATATTATAATTTTCGGAAATTGCATTTTTAGGGAGAGACGAGCTATCAAAAGGACTAATGCCCGTTTTCACCATCAATCCATAATTTGTAAGTGACCTCTATGGTGATACATAACAGGAATTTTGTTTTTATAGGGGTCACTTAAAAATTTGGGATTAATGGTGAAAACGGGCATAAAACTCATTTATTTTTGCAAGAAGGCTTTTTTAAAGCACTTTTATAGTTTTACACTCCCAGTATTAACCCAACCACTGCTTCAGGACATTTTTTTTTACGGAAGCGGTATATAGATATTTTGTAAAATTACCATTTAAAACAGAAAATCCACAATCACCATTTGCAGACACCAAACCGAGGAATGAACTGCCGTTTGCAGTATTTGCGGACCAATACGACTTAAAACCTTTAAGAGCAGACTCTAATACTTTAAAGACACATAATGTGCACAAAAGTTTCGTGGAAAAACTACGCAACTGAACTTGCACTACGATACCCACCAAATAATATCCTAAAATAAGTATGCAACAATAGATACGCGAAAATGTTTTTTAAAGTCTTCGTGGAAGATGTACGTAACTATTAATATGCTATTATTCACACGGAACTTTATTAAACAATTAAGTGCAAATGTATTTACTTCGTTTTTGCTATGGAAATTTAGATGTTTTAATGTTGCAATATTTTACATATTTGTACATAATTTCTTCATTTTTAAGAGAAAAATTATGAAAAAAATTGACAATATGTATTACCTCCTCCTCGATTTTTTAGTGCAATAAAAAAAATATCGCACAAGTGGACTTGCATACTTCTTCCAGGGGGGGTGCGCTTTATATTTAGTTTGACGAATATTAAATCTACGTTAGAAAGGTACTTACTACATTCAGCTCCTCCATATCGTCTTCACAGTTGAATGAAGGCGCAACGCATAATTTTCGCTTCATAGGTGCTATTTTCGTCGTCAGGCTATTAGGACTACATTTGACGTGGAATCTGAAACAAAAACAGAAACATGTTAGAACAAGGTGTATTTTTAATAAAAACTTGAATCTTGAATTTACACAATACACATTCTTGAGACCCTACAAATTATTTAAGGCGTCAGAAGCACGACAAGCGTGGCAGAGGCGTGGCGTTTTTGTAATGTGAAGGCAGGCATCCGCTGTCATATAAATTAATGTAGTATGAAATTATCAGCAGCGCGCTTGTCGCGCGTTTGTTGCGCTGCTAAAGTCGCTTAAAAAAGAAAGTCTCCTAATAAAGAAAGCGCTCTAACAGTGGCAAAAAGACGAGCATTTTCCCTAAAAAATGCTCACGCACTCTTTGACTTTTATTAAACGCAACAATGCCCTCACGCACACCTCGCTCATCATTTAAACTCTCCAAGCCCTCCCTATAAGTCACTCGGCCGGCAATTTCTCCCTCCAGATACTAAGAGGTCAATTCTGCGCAAAATGGAATAAATATTACAAGCTATCCGTTATCGAGGTTAGAATGGGAAATACGTGTTCTGGTCTTCAATAAGGCCTGGAAAATGTACTGTGATCAGTGGAAAATGAGATAAATGACCATAGGTTTAAGGCTCTTCAAAAAGTAATTGCTATAGATGAGGGTCTTTTTTTGTTTCTCGGCTTTTACGGTATATTTAGGCTTTTTTTAAAATAATTGTCGAATAGGGTAGGTGACACTATCAGCCCAATTGACAAAGTACTTACTTTTTACGAGCTTTACTTACAAATTTTTGGGAGTTCAGATCCAAAAATCTGTGATTTTTTAGAGAAGTACCTACTTATTTTTGAAAAAATTTTTTTGATATGAAGTATCCAAATGAGAGAGAGAGAGAGAGAGAGAGAGAGAGAGAGAAAAAGCAAGCATTATTAATACAAAAACTTAACAACCGCTGCTATCTCTATGTTAATTTCATGACCACCAACACAACCACAAGGGAAAAGTACGACCGATGCAGGGGTTGCTCTTATCAAACACATTTTCGATGCTTGGCAGGAGAAAAAGGATGCTATTGGTGTATTTTGTGACTTATCGAAGGCGTTTGACTGTGTTGACCATCAAACTCTGTTATTTAAGCTAGAACATTATGGCGTATCAGGCAAGGCCTTAAGCCTATTACACTCTTACCTCTCAGACAGATTACAAAAAGTAAATATTCACGGAACTAACTCTTCGGGCGCCCCCCTAAAAATGGGAGTGCCCCAAGGCTCAATACTCGGACCATTGCTCTTTCTGATTTATATAAATGATCTACCTTTTTATTCAAAGGACCTTTGTGAGATAGTATTATTTGCTGATGACACTTCTTTAATTTTTAAAACTGACAGGCGTCAGGAAATATTTGACGACGTGAATAATGCTCTTTCCAAAGTATTAGACTGGTTTACAACTAATAATTTGCTATTAAACGCAAAAAAAACTAAATGTTTAAAATTCACTATGCCTAATGTCAAACAAGTTAATACTAATATTACAGTAAATAATGAACGCATTGAACTGATAAACTCTACTGTCTTTCTAGGTATTACCCTAGACTGTAAATTACAATGGGGCCCCCATATTGCTGCCTTGGCGGGAAGACTTAGTTCAGCTGCCTTTGCGGTGAGAAAGATCAGAAACTTGACTGATGTTGAAACAGCAAGGCTTGTATATTTTAGTTATTTTCATAGTATTATGTCTTATGGTCTTTTACTGTGGGGCTCAGCAGCAGACATAGAATCAATTTTCATTTTACAGAAAAGAGCTGTTCGGGCAATATACGGTCTTAAACCACGTGACTCGCTTAGAGAAGTTTTTAAAGAAATCAATATATTGACTGTGGCTTCGCAATACATATTTGATAACATTATGTATGTCCGTAAACATATACATTTATTTACTAAGAAAAGTGACGTCCACTCATTTAACACGAGACATAAGAATAAACTTGCTGTTCCATCATTTAGGTTGCATAAGATAGGTAATTCATTCTTGGGGAAATGTATTACCATATTTAACAAAATACCACACAACCTTGTCGAATTGCCAATAAACAAATTTAAGATACATATAAAAAATACCCTTATGTCCAAAGGGTACTACAAGGTTCGAGACTATATTGATGACAAGGATGCGTGGTCAGTTCAGTCTGCACATATTTGATGTACTTAAATTTGACTATTCTTACCGTTAGATAATTCCTGGCAATAAGTGGTGACTGAGTTTGTTCCGGCGTTTCTTCTCAGCACTTGCCATATGTTTGTCTCGAAGCGCTGGTAGGGCCCAAAAGATAAGGAGACATGTAAAGTGCCCCATAAGGGCTACCTTTTCTTTTTTTATTATTTTCTATTGACGTTCATAAGTGCCACTTGTGGTCTAAACTGAATAAATATTTTTTTGATTTGATTTGATTTGATTTGACCATAACCTCTCTATAAAATACAGACCGTAATTTCAAAATATGGCTGAGAATACTCGAGTATGCAACATTACTTCCAGACTTTCTGCTCTCATTTTTTATTCATGACTCTAGCACGTTGCCAGGGGCAGTGTTTCTATATCAAAGTCAAGTCCTTTATGTTATCTTTTATTCAAATTAGTATTATATCCCCTAGGAGTCCTTATCGCGTAAAACATGGCCCGAGCATGTAAATTTCTAAACCAATGCCGATACTGCGAAAATAATCTGGATTAAAGGCTAAGCTGTGCTTGCTTATCTTTGGTGGAGGAATTTATTAGGGATCTTTTATGAATTTCCTGAGCTATTTTCAGGTTTTATTTAGTGTTATTTATCGGTTTAATAATATTAATATTGTGTAGTTACGCAAAAGACGCAGGGCTACCAATCGATCAACATGGAAAGCATTGGGGGAGGCCTATGTTCAACAGTGGACGTCCTATGGCTGAAATGATGATGATGATGTGTAGTTACAGTTTTTTTTACATTAAAAAGTTGATATCGAATGCGTTTGATGTAAACTCACACTACATACGCCCCCAACGAGTTACTACGAGTTTACTGACTGAGACTGCGTAAAAAAAAAATCATTAAATACATGACAGATTGTACAGCGGCTAATTTCAACAACTAAAATCTTCATATATTTTTTTGACGAGCACCGTAAACTCATGGTAAGCACAGTGTCGACAGTAAAATTACAGTATAATGTTTTAAAAGACTAAAATCACAACTACATTCAGGATACATTAGGCTGTGAGCTTTCCTTGATGTGCCGTTGAGCGTACAAATTGTGGATAAACCCGGCTTATCTGGCTAATTGAGATACATAGTTAACCTAAAACGTTTAGGCTTATTTCTAGAAATACTATCTACCTACCAAAATTAAAATATCAAAGCGAGGAGCGAGTTGTGGAACTACATATTATGTACTCGTACCTTAATGACGCCTGTATTCACAAACATTACTATGAGGTCTAATAGTGCGCGTGGACGCACAGGGTGATACACAAATCAATCATAGAGCTCTATACAACGATGTGCGTTCGATTTCCTGCTTCACTTAAGCAAGCATCGTTTGTGAATACGGACGTGATTTAATTTTGATTTTTCTGCTTCACGACCCATCAAGGCATGAGTTTACTTATAGAGTATTTAATATAGAACGATTCTCCTCTACCATGCGACTTTTTAGGGTTCCGTAGTCCTGACAAGGAACCCTTATAGTTTCGATATGTCTGTCTGTCTGTCTGAGGTTTTGCTTGGAAACTATTGGCACTAGAGAGCTGTAATTTTGTGGAGGTATGTATATTCGCTTGTCGACATATGCACATGTCGTATCGATGGGGATTTTTCACATTTCATTCATATGGTGCTCCGATCATTCGTACCAATTTTCAGCTGTATGCGAATTATTGCAGGGTTCATGTCTAATTTGACCGGACTAGATGGTACATATTATTATCTGCCCTGTAAGTCTAAATACATCACTCACGCCTTTAAAAGGCCCGGATTATAATTAACATTAGTATGATGCTATATTTTGTTCCAAATTTAATAACTAGGTAAGTTACAAAGTTACGAAATTAATCTCCAAATTCAAGGTCATCAATTTCCCCACTTCGGCTCTTATTAAACCCTGCCCTGTTTCTTATGATTGGCTTTCTAGCTCCAGGCCTTGTTATTAAGATATCCCTTTAGAGCTACTCAATTTTATGGAAATTCTAGCGACGACACTTTTAACGAACGAGTTTTTTAATTAAAAGATATCGATGGCTCTGTTGGAGCAGTCTTTACACCTTTCTTTCCTGTTAAAACAAGCTTTTTTTCTATTAGACGCTTCATTATCGAAGAGAAACTCTGAGAACAGTATAAATTTCAGCGTTATTACCTACATAGTATAGGTTAGTACATATTGGATTCTCAGTGATGTTTGTTAAGCTAATCACGCTCATTCACGGTTCAGTGAGAAGCAGCCTCTTATTAACACAGTTGGTAGGTATTAGGTTTACTATGTAATGTATAGACGACAGCACATAACGGTAAACCCTGTGGAATCTTAAGTACGTATCATAGGGGCGATTTTAGGGCAAAATGTTATATAGTTTCATGTACTGCCGACGCGTAATGTTACATCTTTTACCACTACAATAGATAAAATGAGTAAAAAAGCCATTTTTTAAGCGTCTACAGTGAATGATTCGATTTAGTTCAAACGTAGTCCGCTGGAGTAGTGTGGTGAACCCTTTCCTATATCCCTTAACTTAGCTGGAAGGATCAACGGGACTGCTTTAAAATCTCAGCTATATTCTTTCAAGAGTTGTTACATACAATTGAATTCCACTTCACTTCAAAACGAATCAAAATTATTTCCCTACCTGTTGAGTTGCGTTTGTGGAATCCGAATCCTGAATGAAAATTCATAAGAAAATCCTTTGATAACTCCTTGGAAATAGCAAAACTTTGTCTTTGGGATCTCGATTCATCTTCATTATTAAAACAAGAAAGCACTCATCAAAAAATTCATTAAAAATTTCATAT